AGACAGAGGTTTTAGGAACTCAGTGTCCTCCGAGCCAGCCGAGTGCATGTGCGGCTCCGCAGGCTCCCGCGCCGCACGCACACGCTGGCGCTCCTGGGGAAAGGGTACTTAAAAGGATCATGGGACTTAGTAAGTAGGGTTATAATTATAATTAAGGTAACTATACTTGTATTTACTTATAACCCCAATTAAGGGACTTATTACCTTACTTACCAAGTCCCATGATCCTCCAAGTAACGCGGCGTGCACGCGAAGCTTGTATGACCTAAGGCGCCTGCGCCTCAAGATGTATATACTATGCACCGCACATGTCTGTCCGGAGACTGCACTTTTGAAAGAAAGAAAGTGTAGAGAATACCTTCATAGTATTTGTGCCTGCATATACATATATATATATATATATATATACACACACACATGTGCGCAAATATGCTTGCAAACGCACACAGTCATTCGTACATCATCACAGATACACATTCGTTCTCAAAGCAAGAACTCCAGCACATAGAATCCTTGGCCCGCAAGACCCAAGCTCCGAAAACATGCCTCGCAAACCGCGCGAGCTAAGACCCGGAAACCTTGTAGCCTAAATCTGATACCTGATGTCTGTGAGCCCAAACCGCCTACGCGCAACCCGTATCCTGGAGCTCATCCAAACTGAATCTCAACCTAAAGCTCAAGACTTCGACAAAAGCTACGAGGGTTTGGGGTTTGGAGTTCAGGGAGTACCTGCCGCGGTTCCATAACGATGGGCTCCGTGGCGATAGGCTCCTCCATGCAAACAGCAGTTGCCGGTCGGTGTTAAGGTTGCCTGGAAGGTGGTCTGATGCATGGGGTCTATTTTTTAGAAACCTGTTACGAGACTTGACGTACAATGACCCCACATATCGTGGCACTGGCTTCACCACGATCATGCAGTTTTGGGGGATCCTGAACTCTAACCTATTCAGTCTTCGGCTGCTTAGATGGGTACTAGTATGACCCGGAACTATAGTGCGAATTGCAGTGTCTTTACCCTAAACCCTTAACCATAGCGATAAAGCCTCGACCTGGAACCTAAGGTGCAGGGAGAGAAGGCAAGTGCGAAGGCGGCGGAGGAGACGAAAAGCCCTGGAGAAAGGTCTCAAGGCTGACAGCTCCAGATTGCTCTTCCTGACTTCCTTCCTCATAGAGCCCGATGGACGGTAGTCCCGATACCAAAACTCCACTAAGAATGCAAACTTCAATCAACTCTAAGGCGTCCGATCGAATCAGCAACTCCTCAGTTAGCACATGCGATGACGTCGTGATGATAACCCTCCGAGGCTTGAAAACCCTGGGGATGGAAACTTAGCTCGAAGCCCAAAGCGTCAAGGGCTCGGGGAGGAAGATGGGAGGTTGGTGGGCCTTTGGGGTTCGTGTGTAGGATTTTGGTGATATACTTTTGATTACACTAACGACAGTGCATTTCATAAAAATAAGAATAATTAAGAACGCTGATAATAAAGACAATGAAAAAACGAACAAGATGTAATGAACTCCCTCCTGCAACAAGTCGGACTTGGAACTCGAGGCCAATGTGGACGAGCTTTCCACAAGACCCCCCTGCACTGGCTTCTGTCATGATGAACAGCCAAGGGTTTGGGTCTGTGGTTCAGGCTTTGGAATTCATGATTTTGGGAGGGTGCAGGTTTTAGGAGGCAGCTGTACACCGCGATTTCTTGTGAAGATCTCTCTTATACTCGACTCCTGTGGAAAAATGTGCCATAAAGACCCATTGCAGCTGGTTTTGCGACCGCCGTCATCACTGTGCACCCTATAGTTCGTACTCGACTGGGAACAATAGCAGAAATAGTACCGATTACCAATGCCAAAGGACAAAGATTATAGTGATATAAGTTACAAGTAGCCAGGCTGGTAGTCTAGGAGAGGTAGCGGCAGTCGCAGTGGAAGGATCAGAAGCAGCACAACGGCCAGCAACAGCAGCAGTCCTGCTACGGTTCGAGGCCCGGGATCTGATCTAGAAGCCTGAATAGAATATAAGGCTATAAATATATCTCAGGACCCCTTGTTGTAGCAGAAGCAGCACCACTACCACCGCCACCACCTCCACCACCAGCAGTCGTAACAATACGGTGATGAGCACATGATGCATCGCCACGCGGCGCTTTGTGGTGCTGCAAGGACCTTCCTCCCCCTGGCATGCTGCTCAGCCAAATACCCAGGGCGAAACTGCGTCTTTGCGTAGTTCGGGGCTCTACTGGTAGCGCAGAGGCTGGAGAATCTGAGGATCAAAAAAACCTTAAAACTGGGGGCCCGATACCCTTATACTATGAATCCCTATTAAGGCTTAATTATGATGAATCCCTATTATAGTTTGATTATCATACTATCAAATACTATGGTCTATTTATGATACTATGAATCCCTACTATGGTTTAATTATGATACTATGAATCCCTATTATGGTTTAGTTATGATACTATGAATCCCTAGTATGGTTTAGTTATGATACTATGAATCCCTACTATGGCTTAATTATGATACTATGAATCCCTATTATGATCTAACTATGATACTACGAATCCCTATTATGGTTCAGTTATGATACTATGAATCCCTATTATGGCTTATATACTGTGATACTTCGAATCCGTATTATGGTTAAATTATGAACCCCTACTCTGGTTTAATTATGAATAGTAGACTATGACTCGCTATTATGGTTTAGTTATGATGCTATTTGATTATGATACTACGAATCCCTATTATGGCTTAACGGCTTAACTATGAACCACAATTTTGGTTTATATACTATGATACTATGAACCCCTACTACGGCTTAACTATGAACAGTATACTATGAATCCCTATTATGGTGCAGTTATGATACTATTTGATTATGATACTACGAACCCCTTTAATGGTTTAACTATGAACCCCTATTATGGATTATATACCATCATACTATGAATCCCTACTGCGGTTTAGTTATGAACTATGATACTACGAACCCTATTATGGTCTAGTTATGCTACTATTTAACTATTCGATTATGATACTATGAACCCCTAGTATGGTTTAGTTCTGAACAGTAAACTATGATACTGTGAATCCCTATTATGCTTTTTAGTTATGAACCACAAGAGTTATGAACAGTATACTATGAAGCCCTATTATGGTTTGATTATGATACTATGAATGGTTTAATTATGAATCCCTATTATGGTTTATATACTATGATACTACGAATCCGTACTATGGTTACCCTAAACCCTAAACCCTAAACCCTAAACCCTAAACCCTAAACCCGAACCACAAGAGTGCACCGTGAACTCATCGCCTGCACCAGGCCCAGGCGTCGCCCCGGCACGGCCAGCGGCTCGGAGGGCCCTCGCAGTCTTCAGCTTCTTAGGGTTTAGGGTTTAGGGTTTAGGGTTTAGGGTTGTTTTCAACTTCTCTGGGGTCAGGGCGGGCGGTGAGTCTAATGTAGGGCCCTTAATAATTAGAATCGGGTTTCGGGGTGTATATATATATATATACATATATACACTGTAATTTGAATAAGGAACCTTCAAAATAGTATAGGTAATCACTACGGCCCCTATATTAGGCACTGTCGGGCATCAATACTCAGGGCCTGGCAAGCTTTGACCCCTGGAACGTGGACCCAAGTACTATTTCAGGAAATACCAAACCTGGAGCCAGGAGGTGAAGTTACGACGGGGATCAGACCTTTGAAAGCAGTCGTGCCAGGGTTTCTGCACAGGTTTCTTTGGGTCTTAGGTCTTAAGACTTTTACCTATCTAATGCTTTTGCCAGAAAAGATTCGCACTGTGCCGACAGCGGCTTCTATTGAACACTTGTGATTTGGCCTTGGTCACCCCTCCACGTCGCCGCCCGGTCATCCTGTCTCGGAAAGCGACACACCGAGTGGACTCCTTTTTTTGGGGGGCAGTGTTTGCATGTTCCTAAAGATCCTGGTGTCCTGGTGCCCTGGTGATGATGAAGAGGGGAACATGCGGCAGCTGCTGCTGCTGTTGCTGCTGCTGATGATGATGATGGCGATTCTCATAATCAGCATCGTCATCATCATCATCATCATCACTATCAACATCATCAACATGGCCATGGGGCGCGGATCTTGCCGGCATTGCCAAATGCGTAATGGTGAGTTGGAGGGAAGCATTCATCACGGTCAGAAAGGCAACCTCAGCCGCATCATCGCCGTGGCGATCAGGATGATCACCAAGCCCGCCAAGCACCGTCGCTGTCATCACCACCACCACCACCGCCACCGCCACCACCACCACCACCACCGCCACCGTAGTCACTACCAGGACCAGCGCGAGCGATAACGACAGCCATTAGCATTCATCATCCATGCAAACACGTGCAGCAGTTTCATCATCATCCTCCCAAGCATATGAGGACGAGCAGCGCCAGCCGCGGCACCCTCAGCATCATTGTCATAATCATGGTCATTATAGCCATCATCATCATCAACTTTGAATCATGAAAGTCACTGCCGTCATCATCACCGTCGTCATCAACAGCATCATCACCAGCAGCAGCATCTGCCAGAGACGAGCATGGAAGCATTAGCATTCCGCATCGGCAAGGTGTGCCGGATGCAGAGTTGCAAAATAAGGACGTACACAGGATAACATGTGGATTTTGCGCAATGCATGATTTTCTCGGAATCCTGTAACATGTTGCAACAGCACCAAGCCGAGAGTGTCAGGCCTGAGCGGCTCGACCATGGCGAGTGCCAAGGCCTATGCGGAGCTTCCGTTTCTGGCCGAGGGATGAGCATTTTTCTGCCGTTGTCCATCCGAGCAGAGGGCTCTTCTCCGACATCTTGTGCGACGTCAGCCTTGCAAAGCGAATTCTGCAGCATTTCAGGCTTCAAGCCCATGCGAGTGGAGCCGCGGCTGCACTTGGAACCATCGCGGCTGCTGGGAGGAGCTCAAATGTGCTCGTGTTGATCTCATCTCAGCATTCCGCTGTCCTACTTTGCATCACGGCAGGATGGGCGTCTCTGCGGGCGCCTCCGTGACGACGAGGGGAGC